CGACCCTCCTTAAACTCCATCGGATAGAGTTAAGATTTTATCAGAGATACTCAAGACACTATTGCAGAGATACTTTTTTGTAATTTTATTTTAGACTTTTTTTACCGAGTTATAGGACTTCTGAAATTGAACAAGTTGATTTTTTGAGATGTTTTTCAGTATTTTTTCGTATAACTTGACCAGGAAAGGTCTGAAGAAAGATTCTCAAACAGCACCTCTGCGATATGCTTGAGTACCTCTGGTAAAAATTTTTACTCGATCGGATGAAATTTAAGGGGGATCGTAATGTGACACAGTGAAAAACCGAGTTTTTTGAAAAACTGGAAAACGGCCATAGTTAAAGACAAAATCAAAAAAATACTCCATTGAGTATCTAATCGCCTTAGTGACTTTTAGTTTTTGTTACATAGCATTTCTACGGAGAGCCGAAAAAGAGAGGAGAGGTACCCTTAATAGCTAATATCTTTAAAATCTTCAAACTTCCATCTACAATGTTCTCCTCTCTGCATCAGTGATCCACTAGATGAGCAGTTTATCCTCGAGACACTACAGCTAGTTGAACAAAATTATTGCAGATATGTTGCAATTCGTTGAATGTCCTCTGCATAAACGTAGAAAACTGCTCCGGTCAGATACATACATAAAAACGATTCTGGCATCTTTACACTTCATAAGACACAAACGATAGTAGATGTATTGCACCGTAGTTGCTCATTATTATTATCAGCCTCATGCCTTTCTCACTTGGTGCATTATTATTCAGTAACCTTGCATGGTTAAAATCACTCCGTTCTGGTATATTTAACTGAAAGAGAAGAATCTTTTGCATTGTGAAAGTAACTTTACGAGGGAATTAAACAGAAAGTTTAACCACAATACAACAAAAAATGAAGGACTGAATATTCTCTACTCAGCTTAAAAATTGCTGTGCACATACGTATGAGTGTTTGATACGTATTTGATTAAAATAATAAACTGAAAATAAGCAGTAATAAAAACTATATGAAAGAACTATAAAAAGAAGAACATAAAAGAACGCACATAAAAGGCTCACTCTACGATAAAGAATAATCTGTTTTGATATCAATCGTGTGTCTACATGGTAAAAGAAAAACAACCACGCGCGACGTGTATGTAATACAGACTATGTCTACATACCTAGATAGAAACATATGTTCTTCATTTCTTTTCTCTCACTACAGACAGAAAAGAACAGATTGATTAGAAACAGAAATAATTAAAATAAAAAGTCAAACCAAAGCAGAAAAAATCCATCCCATTTTCTTCCAAAATTTAATTAGTAGATCTTGTTCTACCTGCTCAATAATTCAAACAAAAATCGCGGCTGGCGTCGTGTTTTTCAAAGATCAATAAATTGCTAGGAAAACATGTTTATTATTTGATGAAAATTTCTTGGAAAATTTTCGTTTTTCCTACCCTTCACTAACACTCCTATAGCAAGCCAACGAAATACAGTACCATTCTCACACTTTGCCTGACACTATCAGCAGAATTGGAGTCTTTTTAAAGATTGAATGCATCAATGAGAAAATAATTCAGTATAGAAAAAACTACGTGTACGTTGTTGACCATTTCGATCTTAAGGGAGGATCCTCCTATTTAGATTTGGTTCAAACATTGGCATATTGTAGAGGACACTTCAGAATATATGTGACAAGAGTCTGAAGGTTAACGGACGTGCAGTTTTCTACAAAAAAAATTTTTTAAATTATTTTCGGCCTTTTTTACCCATTTTTTAAAATTTAATAAAACTTTTACTTTCCAGTTTGAAACCTCGGCTTTGTAACCAGTCGGTAGAGCGCATCTAGATGTATACATGAAAAGGTTGACATCGTTCTTGAACAAGATTTGACGGAAAAATTCGGATTTGATCTTGAGAATGGGTTTTGGGATCAAAAGTGTGAGTTTTCGTGATCTTGCTTGCAGGTGCTCTGTGTGGAAGCATTTTGAAGCGAAATGTAAGCGTAGAAGTTGTTTATCATGTTCTTTTCTATAGCATAATACTTTGCGGCCACTAAACAAATCTTAAGGTCAATCTTTAAAACTGAAAATACTAAGACGCTGCACTGCGGAGAAAAGGCGCTCAAATTTTTACGATGCTTTCTCTTTCCTTCCCAGTCAGAAGATAGTGTTCAAAAATCTTCAACTCATAGAACATAAACACCTTCATACGCGAAATCGAATGGAAGTGTCAAAAATCGCAAAAAAATAAAGATTTTCAGGCAGGTTTTCTAGAGTCCCTCAGCGCAAAATCATCCAGGACCTTGAAAAAAGTCTCGCTCCAAGGACGAATTTCTAAGGAAAACTGTGGGAACAAAAAATGTTCCGCATCAAATTTAGCGTGAAACAACAAAAGAAATTTTTGAAATTCGTAAAACTCAATTTTCGAATTAAATTTTAACTTTAAAAACCAGTATTTGGGGCGTTAAAAATCGAGTTTAGGAAATTTCGAAAATTGCTTCCTTTATTTCACGCAGAATTTGATGCTGAACAATTTTTGTTCCAATATTTTTATTCCATAATGCTTTCCTAAAGCGAAACACTGTTCAAGGCTTTCTTAAAAATACTTTTTGTGCTAGATTTGGTATGGACAAGTTAAAGTCAAGTTTCTTCACCCGGGGCGTCCTGGAAATATCAGGAGAATGGATAGTCCAAGATCTTTTATTTAGTTACTAAAATTCTGAATGGATTATTGACACCTTATCATCTCGGTGGAAATCAGTTGTCAAATGATTTAGCTTTCAACAACTGAATAGAAAGTATCGGCTACCCGTTCTGCTGATATTTGCTTTTCGGTTTTTATTTTAAAATGTGAACTATAATACAACTGAGTAAAATCAACTTTAAAACCAAAACAGTCGATAACATATACGAAGTTTTTTCACGCTAAAATTTTTTCTGCTTGATGAACTGAAACTTAAAGACTCATAAAAAAGATAGATAATTGACCACAGAACGCTCTTTTTAAAGAGTTTAAAGTATTGTGTGCTCTTCAATAAGAGCCAAACCTGTGTACAAAAAATCCCTTTGGATTTCTTTCATAATCACAGGATCATCTACTAGTAAACCACGATAGAGAACAGCCTCGCACACTTGAAAATGCACTCTTGTCAGACATAATTGTTATCATCCGTTTCATTGTGACATCATCGATCAAATTCAATCTAGATTTGGATAAAATCTGATAGGATATAGGGATGTAAGAGTTAACCTTCAATTTAATATTTGATCTACTAATACTAGGACGAGGTAAACTTCAATACACTTATCGACGAAGTTCAAAGAGAAATATATTCTTTATTGACCGAACAAGTGTTTATCCATCATGGTTCGCAGGTAAGATTTTGATTACATTAATCAAATTACAATATGAACAAAAATAGATTATCAAATAAGACAGTTGTAGAGCATTCAGTTTTTATTGATTCATTTTCTTCCAGGACTGTCGACAACTTGCTCGGGATGTCGAAATTAAAAGAACAGAGCAATGTCATAGAAGACTATTTTATAAAGAACCGAGAAGATCTCATAGTTTAATCAATTTGCAGAATCGGTAAGCTGATCCCCTATCAATCTGCAATCTCGAAAGACAAAATGAGCATAGTTTTTACACAGATGTTAGAACTCACCTTTAAAGGCATCATACGGAAATCGCCGTCGCCGCGGATTCTTATATGTTAAAGTGTTAAAGTGTAAAAGGATAAACGTGCATAACTGAGGGTGAAGTAGTGAGGATGAGGGTGGAGCACTTCTTCACCCACTTCACTCTCACCTCTCCACCCTCACCCTCACTCACCGCGAGTTCGTATATTAACACTGAATCCGCGGCAACGGCGATTTCCGGATGTTATGCCTTTAAATAGGGTTTTCTGCAGAAAATCAGATTTGTCATTTGTGTACCGTACCGTATCGATCTCCTCGAAACATTTTCTCTTTGAGCTGTAATTTTTGCCTCAGGCAGAAGATTCTGTTTAATTCTCTATGCCCATTTTTTCGAAAAGACGGCAAATTTGAGTTTAGATTGATAAAGTTCAATAGGGTCGGTACAGCAGAACAAACTGGTTTTTGCGGAGAATATTACAAAATGATTAGAGACTCTAACAGAAATCATTCCTGAAAGAATTAAAAGAAAATACCACGACCACTTTCGACCTTTCTCACAAGTCTTGTCAGATGGTTTCTTTCGAAAAAGACAGTTAAGACACGACAAAACAACACAACTCAGTCCACACCGTGCTAGTGTTATTGATCCTTATTCTTACCGAACAAAGAATGATAACTTTCACACGATGAGATCAGTGCACAGTATACTGGTCACTGCACATATTTTGCTCCTCTCCATTAAGTATTTCTTTTCATTCTATCGAAAATGGTTCTACCTTGAACGCAAACTGTATTTAGTACCATTCATTCAGCAAATGTGAAGTGAAAAGCACCATACTTATGGTTTGATCTTGGGAAGTGGGCACCAGAGCTTCGTATGGACTCAGAATTCTGAAAGTATTCAATCTTTCTATATAGTTGATTATTAAACAAATTCTACATGTGTTTTCAGAAAAACAGCTCAACTGAAATATCTGCAACAGTATATGAAAACGCATCAACAATTTAGTACGGATCAGCTTAACCACATTAAATCGATTATACACCAGTAAGAACGTAACTTTTATTTCTACATGTCAAGGAATAAAAACTTCATTTTGCAAGATCATTTATAATTGTTACACAACCGCGTTCCGAAGATGGTTCAATACCAGTGGTAATTGTTAATGACAAAAGAGCAAAAATTAAAACGGTCATTGTTAATTTATTACATGAATTTATGGTTGAATATGATAACTATATTCAAATGTCTGACATAAGTGAGGCTTACAGTGATATTTCTGACAGAAAAGTTACAAGAAAATTCTTTATCGTTTATAGAGATAAGTTTGTTGTCAACGACAAATGATTCAAACAAAATAGAATTGTGTATACCAATGAAACCAGCATCGATCAGTTGGAAAACATATACACTATCAACAAGAAAAACTGTTCAATATGCCGAAATAACAATGTTAAGTTTATCGACAGCAGAAAAGCTTAAACTGGCATCCGCATTTTATCGTTTTCATTTATCGATCCAAGTGAATGTAAGAGAAAGATTATTTTGTCATAGTTTTGATCAAAGTATCTATTATCAGAAATTATTCGTATGATGAGAGCAAGATATTGTAGTTTAAGTTTCTCTCAAAATAGAAAGCGTTGAACAAATAATTCTTAGATTTTCAACCGCGCTTCTACACATGTTAATAAAACCTTTTTTAAGCGATCATTTTTATAAAAACAAAAATTTATTAATATGACTTTTTCCTGAACAAGTAGACTCCTACGGCAACTTTTATGGTCAAAACGAGCCACTGCACAAGTCTATGCGACCCTTGATTAAAAAGTTACAAGGTTTTTCCTAAAGGCCCTATAAACTAAAAAATTCCTTACATTCGCCTTACGAATAGACCTTCACTGAGGTCTATTCGTATTATGAAAAATTCTCCATGTAGATAGATATTAGAGGTTGTGACAGTTTTAGAATGAAGCTAGCACATGCGATTGTAGATTGACAGAGCCCGATGTTTGAGATTCACTGGCTATTCCGCGAGTTTTTGAAAATAGATGTTAAGCAATCTAAACTTTAAAAAGCTAACAAAACCACTGGTGTTACTGAGCTTCCTCATTACCTGTTCGCAGAACAGTCGTGTCACGGATGTTTGAATTTTACTCGAGTTTTCGATAAACAGAAAGATTTTTGAAAACCTTGGTTTTCTGGATTTCCCTCTTCTAAAGTCTACCGGAAATGAATTAAACCCCCCCTCATAATAGAAGCCCAGTCTGGCAAGAAATTTTTTGAAAATTGCCCCTGGCCTTTGCTGAAGCAACATCTCGTTGTTAAAAAAATAATTTCGTCGCCGTAATTAATATGGTCAACATTTCCCGAAAGTGTGATAGCGATCGAAGTTGTAATTATCGAGATAGATCTAACAAACGGAAGCCCTTACTTGACTAAAAGCATAGGCAGAGGAACCACTAGGCTAGATAAGGCTCAAGTCTAATTTCCAAATTCATTTTATGTACCCAGTCAAAAAAAAATATCAAGAGGAGTATGATGGAGCACACTTTTTGGAAAAAAAGAAAGGAGTACTCTTTTTCTCAAAAAGGGTGTTCCAAAAATGGAGTAATCTCGATAACCCTTTTGTAAGAATTACTTTGGAGTACTCGAAGTGCATGTTCTCAAAAGGAGTACTTCAAACACTACGCTTTTCTTGAAGTGCTCTGCAGTGCCTCGGCTGCACTTTATAAAAAGAAGTACTCCGAGGCGCTCTTTTTTTTGAGGAGTATTCAGTCTCAGCTCCAGACCTTTGACCACCACCATCCAGACTATTTTGTAATAGCTTTTCTATTCAATATTATGGCAATGTATTTTTTCAAAGAGAACGGGCTTTTTTTACACTAAGAACAGAGAATAAATATGCGATAACCGTTGTAAGAAATGTAGCTGATAATCGAATCCAGTCCTCTAGCTTTCTTGCTCCTAGTAGATGATAAAAAGATTCCTGGATAAAATCTCCTGATATTTTCGGCTGTTATGAGCTTTTCGGCGATGTATTTCTCACGAAAAATGAGGTTTATCCTCAAGAAAATAGCTTAAAAAGAACGATCGGAAACGCGTTAAAGTCTGTTTACTGTCTTACAGCGTGAAAGAAACGTTTCTAAACCTTATCCCGGCCGTTCACTATGATCGGATAGACTCGATTTCAAAAGACTTAAGCCTCCTCCCATTTCTGATTTACTGATTTCGGGTGCTTAATAGAGCTTTAAAATCCAAAAAATCCTTGGAAGGTTTCTTAGGAATTCTCATTCTATAAAAAATAGAAGCATAATTTAAAAAATGGACTCTGTCAGCTCCTATCTATAGGTTTTTTATCTACAAATCAAAAAAGGAAAACTTCTCCCGATGTAGCGTTACCGAGAATTTCTGTGAATGGCAAAAGCCCTGAAGCTAAAAGACAGTCTTAAGAAAAACGCAAAATAAGTTCTGATTCTGCGTTTAAACGCGTTTTACTTAAAGATTGTTTAAGCGTTAAATAATTTGCCGATATTTTCCTACAAGTTATCGGTTATGGCGGATCTAATGAACCTGTGCATGGTCATGTGCAGCACATGCATGCGCTTATGCAATAAAAGTGCGAAAAAAACAAATTCTTTTGCTATGGGCGGGGCTTCTGGAAACTGGCTCAAAAGCTATGAAAAACCTATCCTATCGACACAAAAATTATGTCATTAGAAAGTAGACACTTTGGGCTATCCAACCATGTGCTTTTCTCAAAATCAATATTATTGTCGAAAATCGGCATTTCTGGCCCAGGCGGAGGGAGGGGGGCTGGGCTTAAGCTAAATTTTGCACTTGATCTTCAGTTTATAAAAAGAATGAGACTGAGTCCCACCTATTGCTTTTTCCTAATTACGCCACTAATTTTACTAGAAAATTTAAATTCTTACCATTTTTTATAGCATAGAGCACAAAAGACGACTTTTAGGCTGGGAAATTTTATGTCTTCCACTAGAAACCATTATCACAACGGTCACAGCGTTTTAAATTCGTATATAAAATAGAGGAAAAAGTGTCACGAGATCCGAATTTATGTAGGCCTCTAATTAGCAAAACCATAGAAAAAATAACTTGTGGAGAAGAATTGATCCTTGCCCCATTTGCAATAGTTTCGCCACCTCTGCTTAAAAGCCAAACCTGAATTCATATTTGTAGTTGGTTGCAATCAGATCACTCTTGGGCGTCTGTCTATAGTCTAGAAACCTTGACTTCAAACGCGTGCTGTATTTATAAAAACAGATTCTGAGCAAAAGTGGCCACTGGGTACACTATCTATGTTTATGTTCTTTTATTTCTTGCAAAAACTCCTGCAGCGGATCCGAGTTCAGTGCAAACCGTCACACAAACTTGTTAAACATCGTTGACGTAGTTTTAACGTATTATTTTATCGTTGCAGATACCAAGTATACAACTTTCGCATACTGTTGTGTTGGAAACATCAAAGTTTGTCATTGGTACAAATACTTCTCAGATTACAAACAAGACCGCAAAGGTTATGCTAAATGATATTGAAGAATTTAGCGGGACAGTGAGTGGAAAATTCTGGATCAACAACGTACAAAAATAAATTTGAGTTTCAACTACTTAGATTTCTCCGTCAACAGTTGAAGAATATGTATGCCGTTATTTTAAGCAAAAAATAAGAGTTGAACCGCTCAAATGTGTTCGCTCATATGTTCAGCAACAACTAAACAAAGCTTGCGGTATACTTTTAGTTCTATATCATAAACCAGAAAACACCTATGTATATTTGTTTATTTTTGTAGAAAATGCCGATCCGAAAAAAGTAACTTTGGTAGGTGAAATAAGATTTAACAGCGATAGATCAATTAACTTAACGGTTATGTATTTATTTTGTAGAATTTCTTAACACGATTTATAACTCAAGCAGAATTTATGGTTACATATCCGTTGTTAGCACTGCTTCATGCCGATGGGTAACTTTGAAAGTGGAATGGGATATGCTTAAAAGTATGCGATTTCTCTTTGTATTTTACAGTCTCTTATTAGGTATATGTGACAGTTCATTAACAAAAGATCTAATTGTCACTAATACAGTCTCGTCAATCGGTCTTCGTTTCAATTCGATCACGCAGGAGAACCAAACTCAAACTAAAAATGCTGTCTCAGTAAGAGTAGATGTTCATAATAAGCAAGGTATGTTTTCAAGCGTTTACTGACATTTTCTCAAGTTCTCAGAAAAATAGAGTTAGTCGTCCTGGTTCTTGTAAAATTATAAGTAAGTTACATGCAAATCGAAGAACTAAAAGGTTTAGAGTAATAAATGTCAGACACAAAAGTTACTATCGTGCTATCACTGATAGACTAATAACTTGTTTTATCTCACTAGAATGATTGATTATTTCTATCATTTTAACTTAGACAAATTTGAACGACAAACATTGAATTCAAATGAATTAATGGAAGACTTCTGTAATCTTATTTGTGCTGCGCATGCACAAAAATTTGAAGCATCTATTTTATCTGATATCGTTAATGGATCGAAGGGTGTTTATAAATTAAACAGCGATTTTTCTAATTATTTTGGTATGAGTAAAGATGAATAATTGTAAATTAGAATATACTTTATTGGTAAATATTTTTATTCTAGATGAAAAACTTCCCAGATTATTTCAAGAAAACCTTACGCCATATACACCAGTTTTTCCAAAGTAAACTGTTTCTTTCAACACATCAGTATCGCAACATTTGATGCTGTCTTTTGATTTGTTCACCTTCGATAGACTAAATTTATCTCCTTTTATTTCAGGGGTTTACATTTTTCACAAAACAAAAGTGCACCATTTGCATCATCGACTCCTAATGAGGTATGTGTATCGACATTTGTTGTATTTGCTATCTATCTAATGACTAAATTTCTGGATTATATCTCATGTTCTTCTTGTTCTCCTGAGATTACATTTGAACTACTACGACGTGTATAGTGTTTTTCGAACAATGAAGGTTGTGTAACTTGGGCCAGTGATAAAAAGTTTGAACTTGATTCATTGAGTGGAACAAAAGTTGTAGCGAAAAATAGATGTCGTAACGGAATACCAAATAGATAAATATATACATAGAATACCCTTTGCCGAATACCGGTGTACGGTGAAGATACAAGAAAAATAGCTGATAAAAAATGGGGGGTTTTGTCCAGGTTTAAGGTCACTCATAGAGTGAAAGTTTTTGAGCGCATTCGGAGAATACAAAAAGTGTTCGAATCTGATCCACTTGTGCAAAATCGTCGTAGAATGTGGAATGCAGTAATGTAATATCGGTTTGCCACCTTCAGATCACAAGTGAATCCAGTTTGGGAAGCAGAAGTAATTTTATTATTCTCATGTCACATTCAGCTTTTTCGTTGAGCATAAGTTTGATTTGTTGTTGTTGTTGTTGTAATTCTGTTAATCCATATTATCTATCAGTTGTTGTTCCTTCTTCTTATATGAATTATCTCGCCGGCTAACCTTTACCATAATCCTTATACCATTTCTTTGCATGACTTTTGATTCCTTGCGGTTTAGACAATTTTCCACATTTACTGTTCTGACATATGTATTTATTATTGCTATTTTTTGTTAACAATTCAGTTATTTTAGATTGCGGAGAGACAGTTTTAGTTGTTTTTACTGTTCACTAGTTACAGCAGTTGTTGATGATGATGTATTCCTTTTATCGCATGTACGTCGGTGGATTGTCACATCCCTTTCATTTTTACATTTTTGGGCGCACATCGTACATACATTATTACCGGCTGTAGTTGGAGTAGTAGCAATTGATGGGTCTTTTGTTGTTATATTTGATATTGATGCACGTGTCTCAGTCCGCTTTCTCACCGCCTTTTCCTTATATTCTTTTATGATTTTATGAACATCTCGATGAACTGGTTGATTTTTAACGTTTTTGTTGATCATTTCCCTCCATCACTCTTTGTCTGATGTGTCCCTTCTCCAATCTTGAATCTTCAACTTTTCGATATCATCCTTGATCTTGTCGTGCCATCATTTCTCCACTCCAACTTCGGCTCGTCAAGAGTTGGGGAAATAAGTAGAAGAACCTTTTTTGGCTCGAATTCTCTATTCGATTTACGTCCTCAAACCATCTCAACCTATTTCTTCTAATGATGTTATCTAGACTTGGTTGACCAGTTAATTATAATACCAGATCGTTCGGCATTCGATCGCCTAATGTACCGCCAAGCAGTGTTCTTAGGCATCGCATATAAAATGTTTGTAGGCGTCTTTCTTCATTTAGTGTGAGACTCCATGTCTCACTTCCATGCAACAAAACGAGTAGTCGTGCTCGAAATATTCTGACTTTTGCTTCGACCGACACACTTTTCCTATACCAGATAGGGGTTCGGAATACCAGAAAAGAGAGTTATTTTTTTTCGATACTCTCCCAATATTGAGTGACTAATAGAAAAACGAAATATTGTTATTTTAACTAAATGTACTATTACCATCTCAAAGAGTCCATCCGCATTATTGATTGAGATTGATCGAGAGAGATTAAAATAGAATAAAGAGAAGCAAAGCACAAAAGAACACTACACAATTGATAGAATCGAACATTTGAACGTCGAATTCGAAATACAATTTACTTTTGAACTACATTATCCAAAAGTAAATTCTGAGACAAGGGGTGAGGGTGTTTATTGTTTAACTTGTCAAAGACAAAAATTTATTAGATTTTATGACCGTTCTAGAGTGTAACTACTTCATCATATGACACTTCAACATTTCAACAAATGCCAAGAAGCACTTTTGCTAACACAAATCTTCCACCGATACATAGTTACAATATTAGTTCAAATCAAACACAGATGCAACCGATAGATCCGCCTTGTACTCGTCCAGCAGCAGTAATGTCTGGAATTTCAACTTCAATCACTCCATCGATACTGCTTCCACAACAAAATGCACAAAACATTCGCGGCTTTACAATACCCACCAGTCAGTCAAACCCTAACATTGAAACATCATACGGAGCAATTGCTGAATCACCTTGGAGCATGCTTGATAGTTCATCGCAACTTATAAATGAGTCTCGTAGTGTACATCTAAATGATCTTAGTCCTCCTCGATTGCCACTTAATCATTTTAATACATTCTCTACAACATTCAGTCAATCCAGCTCCAGTAAGGCCTTTGAGATTCACCTCAATCAGCCAACAGCTCCATCTCAATTGACTCCTTCACAGATATTAAATATGCCTTTGCATTATTATAAAGCATTTAATCCGCCGTCGAATGTAACTTTACATCAACAACTGATCGCATCCCATGCCCAGGTACCACTAGATTCTTTTTACCAGGCACTTTATAATTAACTAAATGTGCAGCAAAACGCTTTCATTTAGACATCTTCAAATGCTGGAATACCGCAGTGTGCAAATTCAATAGAATGTAGTTATGACATAGGACCGCCGACAGAATTGCATTTACTGTCCCCAGGTGAAGCTGAAAAACCCTTTCGGTATATAACAATTTGGAATAATGACAGCCCGACTGACGTTGATCAGTGGAATAATGATATTCTTGATATTAACATGGATGACTGTTGAAAACTATGTGCCCAGTGAAACTGGCGATTTTAAAAAATACAACAATGTAAAACAAACATTGTAGTGGCAACATCTTCTTATGCAAATATTCAAGAAAAAGTGTGACAAATAGAAAATATTTTATCGAAGAAAAGAGCGCTTTCATAAACGTTCGGCTAATGTGGTCTGATTCTGTTAGCACCTGGGTAACACAGAGTATCATGGGATTGCTGTAAGAATCGCTAAACAATAGAAATATTAAGTAAACATAAATAAGAAATGAGTTTGATTTCGTTCATTTTCTTTAACAATATGTTACCAACTGGTTTTCGCTACTATGTCTCTACCTTACAGTTGTCTACGGAAAAATCTCTAATCAATGCTTTTAGGACTTTTCATAACCCGAAAAATTTCTGTGAGCAGGCTGGCTTCCAAACAATGAGTTTGAATCAGAAAATCAGAAACTTTTACTCTTTTCCAGTAGACTTTAACTTCAACAGTAAAGTGCTCCACCTGAAACAAGAAATAATTTATTTTTGAGCTATAAATCGTCTAGTGCGGAATGAAGTGTCAAGTACAAAGAGTACTATTTTTCTTTTTTCTCTTTCTACTTTACTTGCACATTAGTGTGTGAATAAACACAAGTAGACAGGCATATGACAAGTTCGAGTTTCTAACTTGAACTTGCTAAAATAATAATCATGAATTCAACTCCAAGTATTGAACTGGGAGCATGCCTCTTCAATTTCAAATGGTCCAAAATTATAGATTGAAAGGCAGAATATTTGTAACCGCTTACGGATAGAGATGATTGACCAGATCCCTTAAGTTTCTTATGGATGTTTGTTTCTGTGTTTATCTTCTTTGATTGCTAAAAGATTGTCTCGCCGGCAAAATTCGCCCCGATGTTCACGTACGGTTTATGCTGACAAGGGAACCTTTCGAGGTGATTAAAAGCTTTTTGATCGACATCTAGTGGGTTATAGGTTATCGACCATGCTGATTTCGAATAATATCATGGGACTGGCCCATAGCTCTTCGAAGATCCAGTCTTCTGGAAAACCAGTTTTTCAGAAATCCCAAAAAATAACTCACGCCTTTCTTAATAATGCAGGATTGTAGCGCGCAAATTTCTGATTAAAATGATACATCCGCCAGCTCTACACGACCTTTCTTTCCGAAGTTATAGAATTTATAAAACGAGCCTTAAATTGTTCATTGTCAGCTCAAAGCTACAGAAATAAGAAGGAAAGAATTAATTTAGGGCTTTTCTTATAAATTCTATAACTTCGGAAAGAAAGGTCGTGTAGAGCTGGCGGATGTATCATTTTAATCAGAAATTTGCGCGCTACATTCCTGCATTATTAAGAAAGGCGTGAGTTATTTTTTGGGATTTCGGAAAAACTGGTTTTCCAGAAGACTGGATCTTTGAAGAGCTATGGGCCAGTCCCATGATATTATTCGGAATCAGCATGGTCGATAGCAAAACATTTACAATCAGAAATTGTGTACTCTGCTAAACCTGGTGACTGTAACATTCATAAAGTCTGGAAGAGAAGAAAGTGTAAGATTCTTACGAAAACCATAATCGACTCGTCTACGAAAAAATCGTACAGTACTGAAAAACGACCGTTACTACCAGTGCGCACGGCATGCTATGCTGCACCGGTACAGTTCCACATTTTTCCAGTTACTGTTTTGTTACTTGCGATTGATTCCACTATATTTTGCTGGGACTTTTCTTCGAGAACGTAGTGCAATCAAAATCTAATGCTTTCGTCGAGCAGACAATGTTTTTCTCATGTTATAACCTATATGTGAAAAGGAAAAATCAGTATAAATAGAGGTATGTTCAGGGGATGTGCACAGCAAATTCGGCTCTCTCTCCCCTTATCTCAATAGGTCTCATTTTCGCTAATCTAATAAAGTGCCTTATACAACAGACACTGTTTTTCATCTCGTTTAAAATGAGAAAAAAGCTTTGATATCGTCAATCATATACATGCCGTGAGTATATATATACGTTTATAACACGTGGATAAGCACGTGGAGCAATCTATTCTTTTCTAACGTTTTTCTTCAAACGAAGAAATATGCTTTCTATTAACGTATATATATATAATATTTATTTATCTTTATCAGCAGTTTATATCTGCTTTTTAAAGTAGAACTAAATCATTGAAATAACTAATTTACAGAGTAAGTACACAGCACTTGTAGTGATTGAGAGAATAGGAATATATAAAATCCTTTCTATTTTACTGTCGCACAGTTGCAATTTTTCTCCTCGTTCTGTTTGACGCACGGAGGATTGGGACCTAGCCATTCCGCCTCATTCACAGAATATTATAGTGGCTTTAATAACGAACTGATCCTAGCAATAATATCTACGGATATACATTCTCTAGAAGTCTAAGCGTGAACGTTCTTGTCACATATGACAGACGTTAGCTTACGGTAAAACTCACAGATGAACTATGCAAGATTTAACCGCTCTCACCTATATTCTGTGATCAAATGCCAGTTGCCAGAAAAATGGTAATTCAGAAATACATGAGAAAAAACTAATACATAAAAAGAATAATGAAAAATATTCATTTTAAGAGACCCGTTATATCAAAAGTTGTTGTTTTTCATTTTTTTTCGTTACAATACCAAATTTGCTGTGCGCATCCCCAGAACACACCTCTGTTCATACTGACTTTTCCTTTTCACATAGAGGTTATAACATGAGAAAAACATTGTCTGCTCGACGGAAGCATTAAAATTTGATTGCACTACGTTCTCGAAGAAACGTCCGAGTAAAACATAGTGGAATTGATTGTAGATAACGAAACGGTAACTAGAAAAGTGTGGAACTACTAATATTATCGGTCACCATCAAGATGACCGTCCGGACGGGTGGTCAAAGAGGTCCAGAAAGAATTAATTTAGGGCTTTTCTTATAAATTCTATAACTTCGGAAAGAAAGGTCGTGTAGAGCTGGGGGATGTATCATTTTAATCAGAAATTTGCGCGCTACAATTCTGCATTATTAAGAAAGGCTTGGGTTATTTTTTGGAATTTCTGAAAAACTGGTTTTCCAGTGTTTCGCTACCGGACATGTTGTTTGAGATGGGCATCTGGACGGTCATCTTAATGGTGTCCGATAATTTTGATTTGAAATAATTAAAACGCGACATGTGTGCAGCCACAACACTAGTCCGGACAAGCGTCCTCACGCGTCTTTTTCTGCGGCGTCCTGACATCGTCATCCCGTTTTTTTTGCTTTTGACTATGGTACCTTCCTTTGATTATTTATGCTTCAAACAGTAATTTTTATTTTATTTTCTGGTTCGAAATATAAAAACCACAAATCTAATTTTTATAGAGTTATTGTTTTAAGCTACTTTTAAGATGGACACAAACGATGAGTCTATTGCATGAGTTAGTCTGGGCTATAACATAAATAGCCGAACCACTTTTCTGAAAGCGTACGCTTAGGAGTTTGAAGGCCATGGTCGATAATCGTTAGTTGCAACTAGAAGAAATCTAACAATCGCCCGATCACTAGATTTCCACTGCCGTTACTCAATAGTTGCAATCGAGTAAAAATCTAGTAATCTAGATGAATTAGGCGATACTAGATTATTTTTTGACGCTTGGGTATGGAACCGACGGGCTTATTCTTCGAGTGGTCCCGATAATACTCGTTAGATGGCCGAGAAATAGCAATTTTACACTTTTGTTTGACCAAAATAGTACGATAATCTGAATTACAACGAAGAATTCAATGCACAATAGGCTCAGAATATAGAGAGGAACGGGTGCCTGGTTAGCGGTAGCGTAATTCCAGATAATCAAAATTGAATACGGTGCGCCTGCCAATCCGAGTATGTTTACTAGAATAAAAATGTTTCGTAGTACTTTAATGTCTCTGTTGCTGCTACCCGTTGCTAATTTATGCGACGTATTTCTTGTATACTTTATAATATAAATATAGAGACAAACAATACCCGAAACCGGAACAAGAAAGGCGAGTATGCTTGCAATAAGTGTTTTTGTCCAAGTCTCTGTTGATGAGAATATGCAGAAATGTGATTCTCTCTCAAATTTGACGCCTTGGAGAAAGTAAGTGATTAATACAACGATAATAGCCATCGTCCAGTTACATCCGATAAGTAACAGATGAATGGTTTTTGACTGAAGATATTTCCGTTTACTCAATATAATGAAGAAGAATCTACTCACGGCATGAACCAAATAGGAATAAGTTATTGAAGCAGTTGTTATTGCCGTTACTAGAGCGATTATTGTGCATTCGGTGGTGATTTTATGAGCTGACATCAAACCGTTTGCGAATTGCCAGATCATTAATATACAATGGAAAAAAACGCACAGTGCGGAGTTAAAACTGAGAAGATTGGTGACATTCGATAGTTGTTTGTGTAGCAGCAAAATGAGAAGCATGACAATACTGATAATCGTCGAAGCTGTTGAAAATATGAAACCGAAAGAGTAGGTGACGTGGAGAAATAAAGATCGCGGTTCTCGACTACTACTCATTTTCTTTTGCTACTAGAAACTAATGTTAAATGGTATAGTGTAAAGAGGTTAGAACTCAACAAACGCTTATATCATTAGTTCATTCATTGTCATTATAAATTAAATGTTTAATTTTGGATTGACAGTAAATGTCCTCTATTTCTCCGATGAAGTGACGTTCGTAAGTTGAATATTGTTATTATCACTAAAAAACAGAGACTCTCTGTCGATTCTTGAGCACCATTCTTGTTAACAAATATCATTCATCAGTATTCAGTCTCTGCGAGGAGAATAATCAGTGCAAGTTAAGAAATTCACGAGGTGATGTCACGTGGAATACATCTTCTTTTCGCATTGTAGTTACCAGAGATGGGACGGGTTTGTGTTAGAAGGAGCCGAATCGAACCGAAACTTTCTCCAAACCAAACCGAACCGAACCGATCAATATTTTTTATATGTAATTGAAGTTAGAATAAAACGAAAAACTCTTTGTCTTT